GTATAATATATAATTAGTTGTATGAAATTTATTTTTACTATGTATAAATCAGATAAAACCAACCTACCTATTTTGTTTATGAATGATCCAACTGTAATACTAATGTATGAATGTATTATTATTTGTTAGTTGCTGTTATAGAAAACAAAACTCTGCAGGTAGAAGACTAGTCCTCAGCAGCATGTTCAGGAATCCATAGACCTTTTAATTTACTTATTTAATCACTCTGCCCTTTTTCTGTATTATGATATCATACTTAGTACGAAGGACATCGCTTTTGGCTAATTCTTCTGGCTTTTTTCGAGCACTGTTGTTGTTTCCTGTTTTTGGAGAAATATCCAATACTTGCTTCATTACTAGTGTCCTTTGAATTATGATGATATCCCCAATTTTCAATTTGTGGCGAGCTGCATACTTCTTCCATCCCTTTTTAAGATATCTTCCCCTCTTATTATCTACAAGTTTCATCACCCATACTTAATTCTTCAAACTGATTATTTAGAGTTAGTGTTGCATGTAATGCAATATAAGGTTTGAGTCTCACAAAGGATTCTTCCAATACACCTAAGCCATCCCTACAGTAAAGATCAGATTTTTTTTAAATCTTTTGATACATATCAACTTAGTCAATTTTCATACGTATCAACTACTTTATGTAAAAAGATAGTATTGATAACTTAAATATAAATTTTATACAACGATTCATATATTATACAACTATTTTTCAACTTTCATACAACATTCAAATAAAAAAAAATATAACTACAACAAAATATAATTTACATACAATTATACTACAACGTGATAAGTATATTATATGTCAAGTGTTCTTCTTCTTCTTCTTCTTCTTCTTCGAGTTTTAATTTGAAATTCAGCCAAAATCAAATCTAATCTTCACCGAACACCCTCAAAATTGAGATATAAACTCCAAACAATATTCCAAATTATTTGCAACAACACCCAATCCAAACAAATAATAATTTTTGAAAACCTAAATTCGAATTCAAAGCTTCAAAGCTTTTTAATGGCTGTCAATGGTGGAGAGTCAAATACCTTCAAAATTTATTGAGTCAACATTTATACCAGTCCTTGTTGTCCCACTATGACACAGTGCAAAAGGTTTCAATTTTCATAAAACGTATGATAATGCAATTTATCTAGAACCTCTTATATTGAAGTTGGGGCAGTCTGTGTAAGAATTCAAAAACGGTTAAAGTGACGTAATGGAGCCTTAAATATGTTTGCTCATTTTTTATTTTTGTTACGCTTTAATTTTCTGAAATTCTATGAATTTCGGAACGTTAGTAATTTGCATATCCCCAGCTAGTGTAATGTGGAAATAGGATAGGAAAAGAGGAGAGCAGAGAAAAAAGGAAAAAATATGTAACTGAATCTCTAAAATTAAAGCACTAATAATAGGTTGTATATAAATTGTAAGAAAAACTTGTTTAGGGCGGGTAATAAGTAAAACTAGGACAATTTTGGTAAATAAGTTTCAAATATTGTATATGAACGAAAAAATCCCTAATTGTTTTAGTCTATTTTTCATTAATGAAAATCTATGATCGGACTAATTTTTCCTTTTTAACTTATTATTAATTAATTATATAACCATCTTTGGGTTTTCCTAATGTTACTTGCAACCTCAACACATAAAATTTTGCACGAAAACCAAGGACCTAATCCTAGATTTTTTCCCGCAAAATGACAATATCTTATTGATGAGTTCAACTCCTTTTTGTAAATTCCTTCTACCATTTTGGCTATTTTTTTATTTGTGGATGAATTGATCATCGATGAAATCAAGATCTGGGAGCCATCGTTGTTTCCTTTGCTCAGATAGTATGTAACATTTTGGCAATGGGTTTAATGGGAAGAAAGAAAAGAATATGATGAAGAATTGTATATGGAGATACTTCCAGATAAGGAGCTTGCATAGATTTCATTCAGAAGTCTTTTTCTTTTAACAAATCTTGTTTCCATTAAAATGGTTTTGAATTCCTCATCTGATATTCAATGATATCATATCTTTTCTTCTACAATTTAAATGAAATGGAGTATTAGGGCTAGTTAAGTTTAGGGTTTGGAACTTTCGAAAGAGTAACAAAAGAAGAAGAAAAAAGAAAAAAGAGAACTCTTTCAAAAGAATGAAATACTATACTTTGTGCATGAAGAATCAATTGGCTTTGCTCGGTAATTAATTTTCCTAACAGCATGTTTGGATGGTTGTTACATATCGTTTCATAATGTATCGTATCGTACTGTATTGTATTGTACTGTATCGTTTGATAAATACAATGTTTGGATAGATTGTGTCGTTTGTCATCGTTTCATGATATCACACACCACCAATATGAAGAATAAACTTGCAATATTATAAAGACAAATTATGACACTGGGTAAAATTACTATATAAAAAAGTAGGGTAAATGATAAAATAAAATTATTTAATAATAATGAAGGGTGAGATTGAGATAAAAAGACAAGGTAACGACGCGACCACACCAAATCGGTCGTTACATAAAGTGGCACATTCCGTCGTTATGTAACGACGGATTTAACGATACGATACAATAAAATTTAAGTAACAATCAAAGCAAACATCATATTTAAAGTAACAATACGATACAATACAATAGGTAACAACCATCCAAACAAGCTGTAAAGGAACTTAGAGAATGATCACAATATTAATTAAATAGAATAGTGTCCTAAAAAAGGCAGATATGTCATAATGTATTTTATTTACAGTAAAAAAAAAATTAGGTAAAAAAGAAATTTTACAAAAAAAAAGAAGGAAAGTAAGTGTAATATCCAAAAACTACGACGAAGGTCACTGTGTTAGAGTGAAACATGAGGAAAGGCCTTTAAAATTATCAGTAAAATATAACGTTATTAGTGATCTGTTATTTTTTTTTAATAATCGTAGTATTGAGATCAAATTGCACACCCCTGAATTAATTTCACACAATACCTACTATATGCTAGCACGGATAACTCTATTCATCAAAACTTAACCAATGACCTAATTAATATGTTCCTTGTAGAACTTAAATATTATATACTTATATATTGATAATAAAATGATTTTTTACGTTACGTTTAGTGTCTCATATCATGAAAAATAGAAGCTGTTAGCTAACGTATGGTTCACCAAGTCACATTATTTGTTCTTCTCATGAAACACAACAAAAAGCGAGTTTAAACAAAAGTAAAATGTTAATACAAATCGTGACAAAAAGAAGTTGTTAATTAACGTCTGGTTCATCAAGTCACATTGTAAGTTTTTCTCATGAAACACAATAAAAAGCGAGCTTGTACAAAAATTAAATATTACTTCCTCCGGTCCACAAAAAAGTGATCATTTTACCTTTTTATTTTGGTCTAAAATAAGTGTCCATTTACATAAACAAGAAAGAATTAATTTTATTTTTTCAAAATTTGCCCTTATTTACATATTTCAATGTATCAATGTAACAATTAATTAAAGTTAATTTAGTGAATATATTTTTTTTTCCTCTATGAGTTTTTATTTTCTTAATAGGTGTACCAAAAATAAAATTGTCACTTATTGTATACCGGTGGAAGTAATACTAATCATGACAAAAAGAGCTTAATATTCGTTTAATGTCGTTTTGGACTTGAAAAAAATCAGAGTTTTGACCTTATTCACAGGAAATAGGACAGGTTTTCCCCTATCTCTAGACCTATCCATATATGTAATTTCCTTGTCTCAGCAAACTACTAACAACAGCATACATCAAATGATTACTATATTTAAAAAATATATCTATCTCAACATCAAGTATAAAATAACAACTAACCATCGATGAAGCATAAAGTTTGAGATACAACCTCAGTTTATGTCATAACAAATCATAATACCACATTTATATTATTAGGGGTCGTTTGGTTAAAACCGAAATATTTCAAACTCATAATTTTGGGGATTATAACCAAAGATTAAGATCTAGATAATTTATTCCACTTTTTATATAGGATAAATTAGATTAAGATTTTGGTGTAGAAATAATAACGTTTTTAGCTAATAATACCTCTAATCAATACAGAATAAATTTAATACAAAAATTTATAATCAGGAATAACCCACCTAATCCCTTGAACCAAATGATCCCTTAGAAGAAAAGACAGTTCATGATAGACTCTAGACTTTAATAGAATGCTAAACTCAGATCCTACTCTAAAAAAAGAAAAAAAAATTGTCATAGGCAACTACGAACAAGAAGTGGGGCTTACCACTGAACGATTTCAACTAAATCACGATAAAAGAAATGGGCTTTACTATCAGCCAGGTAATTTCACCAAATACACAGCTTCATCAACCATTTCAGTGTCGCAAATCAACGACTAGAGGTGTTTATTTTGTTTTCTACCCAAAATATGGGTAGACATTGAACTTTTAGAAAAGCAAAGCTCCTATATTAACAAAATTAATCATTTTATCAATCACTTGAAAACAAAGGTAAAGTAATTGGTGCATTTCGTTGGCTTGCAGAATGGTGAAATTTTTGTATGTGTTTACTTGGAATTCTTTTTAACCACCAGACTGAAGTAAAAATACAAGGAGTACCAAACCTTGACTTGCTATTCAGGTGACAAAAATACTTCTCCAGTAACTAGAAAATTAAAATGACACTGCTCATAATCTAAAAAAGATGTGATTTCAACACCTTTAACATATATACATATACAACACACACACACACACACAATATATATATATATATATATACACACACACACACACACACACACTGCTCATAATCTAAAAAAGATCTGATTTCAACACCTTTAACATATATACATATACAACACACACACACACACACACACAATATATATATATATATATATTTCACTTGATATTTGAGGAAAATCTGCCCTCAGCTGCTGTCCTCTCTGCACTCACTTCTGGATTCTATCGCTGGTATAGTCGAGAAAGTTAGAGCATCATTCAGAATATCACAAGACATAAAACAAGTTAGAATTATCCAGTAGAGTTTGAAAATTAACAAGCTATCCCTCCCATACCCATAGTTGAGGAAGGAATAAGCAGGCATCTTTCTCAAATAAAATCGTACACATTTACATATACAGATATTAAGACAACAGTTGCTACTATCTGAGCAATAAGGTTATATACATTTTCATAAACAATGTTCTTCTCCAGTTACAAAATACAACATTTCAGAACCAAGCCTTTTTGATCCACCCGATTCTCTTCATTGCCTGCCAAAATAAATGCATTATTCAATCGGATGGAGATCTCTAACAGTTTTCAACAAGCTATTTTGTTCACAAAACTCATAACCAAGTTGCTCATGTTGAGAAAATCAACATCAACATTTAAGTTCGCAAATGATCCAAGGAGAAGATAAATGAATAAATGTGTGTGTGTTGTGTGTGAGTGTCTTCATGGGTGGGTGCAGCTGTACATGTGTTCGTACATAGGGCTATGGGCTATGCTCATCTTGGGAATGTATCCTCTTTTCGAAATGCTACAAACCCTTCGATCATGAATGTTAGAAGGGGAGATGAGGAGTGCAGAAATGGCAAAAGTACTTCAAAACTTATTTTGCTGCAGCATCAGTGCCAAAGAATTTTTTTGATTAAGAGTAAAAACAGTTAAAACTGAAGTTAAAAATCAAATCATTGACAGCTCACCTTCAGCAGGCTGAACTAGTTTTCGATTTTGGGGAGACATCATTTCCTTTTTCAACTGCATTAATATATCTTCCATTGTGTATTCGTGCTTCCAATCTGCTAGAATGGGGAAGAGACTTGGCTCAACCTGATAATGTCTCTCACATATAAGATTATTTTGTTAACTGTCAAGTCTACAAAAGTTAATTAGGAAGCAGTACATACCACACCAGTTTCTTGGTTTACACAACTCATGTTTATCCTTGTTTGGAACCTTACACTAGGTGGGTGATCTGGATACACCTTTCCGCAGAAAAGTTTTAACTGGTAGATGCGCCCTTCATGTACAGTCTGACAAGCAGTAAATGTCATAACAAGCATAAAACCTTCGCTTTCATTATTACCAAAGTAATTACAAGACTCGAATAGGACGGCAACAAGTAACTCTCTCTCCTTTCCAAAGCTTAGGCAAATTGGAAGAAATAACCTAGTGTCGCCTCTTCTGAGACTCGAATCTTTTAGTTCCCAACACTGCTACTCCAGTTCTTCGACCACTAGATCACCCCCTTTGGGGCTGCATAAAACCGTTGTACACATACACAATGGTTAAGGTAGGTTTTCTTCTTTTGACTTCAAAATTCATCAAAAACAAGAAGTGCACTAAAATAAAATAAATCAAGAAGAATTCTACACATTGAAAACTCAGATTAGATACCTGCACCACTGCAACCCTACGTGAAGAAATACCTTGGGGTTAAGGTCTAATTAAGGGCTTTGATGCTTCGCTTAGTGGGCATAGCAATGTGACAGTTACACATTTGTTATTTCCAGATGATACGTTGGTCTTTTGTGATGCAGAGGTGTCTCAGCTAGCTTATTTGAGACAGATTCTCATATGGTTCCAAATTGTGTCAGGCCTTAAGATCAACCTCAGAAAATGTGAGATCACACCGGTGGGAGAAGTGGATAATATTGAAGAGATTGCACATGTGTTGAAATTGTAAGGTGGGTACTTTACCTACTACTTATTTGGGGCTACCGTTGGGTGCATCGAGCAAAGATCTTGCAATGTGGAATTCAGTGATTGAGAGAGTAGAGAAACGGCTAGCGGGATAGCAAAAGAAGTACTTGTCGAAAGGAGGGAAAGAAGTTTTGATCAAAAGCACTCTATCTAGCATACCTACATATTATATGTCACTTTTGCAGGCTCTGGGTAAATTGAAGAGTTGTCATATCTCCAAAGGAATGGGGAGGTCTCAGGGTGAAAGATCTCAAGGTTTTCAACAAAGCTTTGCCAGGGAAGTGGATAGGGAGATTTGGGGTGGAGGAGAGTGCATTTTGGAGGGGGTAGTAGCAGAAAAATATGGTATTATGGAAGGGAGGTGGAGGACTAGAAACATTAGAGTATCGTATGGGTGAAGCTTATGGAGGAGTATTATGAAGGGGTGGGAAGCTTTTAGTGGCCATATTTCCTTTAGGGTTGGGGATGGAAGCCGGATTAAATTTTGGGTGCATAAGTGGTGCGGGGAGAACGAGTTGAGGGAAACTTTCCCTAACTTATATAGAGTATCTTGCCTGAGAGATATGACGGTCCAACAAATTTTTAGGTCCCACGGAGGGGTGCTTCATTGGGATTTGAGATTTAGGAGGAACCTACAGGATTGGGAGATGGAAGAATTTCATAATCTAGTTGAGTTATTGTATGGGTTGGATACACCGAATAATGTATCGGATGTATGGAGATGGCGGGAGAGTAAAAATAGATTATCCACGGTTAAATCTTATTATAAGAGGTTATTAGTGAGAGAGGAACAAGTTTTCCCTCATACACTCTTTGGATTCCAGAGCACCAAGAAAGGTGTGTTTCATTGTGTGGTTGGCGGCGAGGGGAGCGATTTTGTCAGCGGAAAATCTAAGAAAGAAAAGGATAACCTATGTTAGTTGATGCTTCATGTGCAAAAGCTCGGGCGAAGATGTAGATCTCATATTGCATTGTAAAGTGGCTAATCGGTTGTGGAGTGTGATCCTTGTGGAGAGTGATCCTTAATTTGTTTGGGGTGCAATGGGCAATGCCGGGTACAGTGAATGAGGCGTTGCATAGTTGGGTTCACATGAGTGGAAAGAGAAGTCCAAGGACATGGAGTGTCGCTCCCTTAGCAATCATGTGGGTGATATGGAAAGAGAGAAATAGGAGGGCTTTTGAAGGGGTGGAACAACATTTTGTGAAATTGCAAAGTAGTTTTTTGTTCCTAGTTTCTTTTTGGTGTACTCATGAGGTCCCTATTTGTATAGAGGATTGAATCTCTTTTGTTGAGAACTATATTTTGGTGTAGGTTCTTTTTTTTTGGTACACGGCTTGTATACGGGGTTAGTCCCCAATTGTTAATAAAAATATTTACCTTATAAAAAAAAAAGACGTAGAAATAAGCAGTTAGCTCATCTTCTTCTAAGGTTTAGACTACATCTCTGTTTCCTCCTTTTTTCTTTCTCCTATATCTCAGCTTCTTCTCCCTCATTCCTTCTTATCCTCACATAGAAGTGTACTGAGTAGCTGAACTTGCAAGTAAACTTATATACTCAACAATTTTAGTCCTTTTTGGTCTACTTATTATCTAAAATACCATATTTACATCCGCATCTTTCTATCCTACCATCTTCTTCTTCACCAAAGAGTTTGAGTTTCTATTGCTTCACCAACCTACCTCTTGAAATCCAGTCCAAAATTGTTCATCCTCAATGTTTGTGAAGAAATCAAGCAACGACATTATTTACAGAATATTAAGGTGGATGAGTAAGGGGGGAAGAAATAGCATGTCATAGCCTTATCAATTAGCTGCGTAACGTTTTCGAAAATCCCAGGAATTAGGCGTGTTGACTAATATTTTTTCCTAGAAGCTCAAGTACCATTGCATCTACCATTTAAGAAAGTAGATAGGAACTGTTGCAAATCTCATGATCTCAACTGTGTCAACCCGATATGCTATTTTTGTGATATAATTTTCAGAAACAAAAACTAGCTTTGAATTCTTATATCGCTCATTTAATCCAACAGGTCAGTTTCTAGCTAGCCACACTAAAACAAACAGAGTATTTCCCTTTGCACTTCAACCACATCAACACTTTTGATGTTGATTTTATTTCATCATTAAAACATTGGGGAAATTCAGAATTTTGTCGCCCACAAAGTTAACAATGCAGCAGCTTATGCATGTTTATTACGAAAAGATGTAACTACCTTTAAAAGCCTAAAAGGGAATGTTACGAGACCCAAAAATGAGTACAAAATCTCTTGACGAAACAGGAAGTTTCCTTGGTGGTATTGAACCAATATTATTGGGTCTAATGTTAACCCACAAAGCTGCTAGTGAATCAATTTTCCCATAGTAAATGTTCAAATGCTTGGACCCTACAAAATCTGTACTTGGGTAGCTAGTTCAATTATATTGTGTACTAAGCTTGAAAGCAGCTCGTAAGTTTTGTCAGGTCTAAGGACGATTTGGTGATTTTGGCAGTTGCACTAAATTTAAATGAGTCATTTTCAATGTTTTGTGGCAGAAATGTGCCTCGGAAAAAATCATGTCTTTAGAGGCAAACCTACTTTTGAACTTGGCCTCCAAGGCACTTGGTAGAAAAGTGATTCTAAGTCTGCAATTAACTACTAATTTACTCTTTCCTCAGCATATCTTAGTATAATTTCTACATTAGCCAGCTAAAGGTGTTTCAACAGTGACTAAACATCAAGCCTGCCACAAGTTGAAAATGTGATGCAATCGTCAACAAGGATATTTGAAGATTAGCCCAAGAACCAAATTAATGGACAAAATTCCTGCATTAACAGCACAGAGCACCAAGAGGGAATTACAATCAAACGCAGCTTGACTACCAAAAGGAAATACATTGTTTATTCAAGAATACAGAAATATGAAGCTACAAGCACATCTTTGCAAAAGCTGAAAGGAAAATCTTACATTAGGAGGACCAATTATAGTTCCTGTCCATGATTGCATGTATACATCATCTGCGTCATCCATCCCATAGCTGACAGTTCCATCCCCAATTCCCTTTTCTCCTCTTTCAAGCTCTTCCAATAATCTGAAACTCCTAGGGACTGGAGATAAAAGCAAATATCATCATAAAGATTAAATAATATGCTTATATGGTATGCAAATTGTAGTGCATTAAAAACGGTTTTCTTGGAAAAGACTGAAAAACACAAAGTTAAATAGATAAAAAAACATGTTATATCTTATAGTGAAGAATATTGAACAGCTTGTAGCTAAGAGTAGCATAAAGCTCTGTTCCACCTGCCATTCAACATAATTTGGGTGTGAGGATTTGGTCAAATTCTCCTGAGTCCCTGGTGCATTGACTACAAATATGACCGACAAGTTTAGATCAACTGGGTTTTCATTTTCGATTTATTAGTTTGTACATATACATAAAGTATTAGAAAATTTTCCCATTGTACGAGACATAATTAATAAAATATTTTTTCTTTTTGATAATAGTGGTGTCCGGTTCAGTTTGCCCACACCTCGATTATTCCACAGAGTACCTGCTATCACTAGCATAGGTAAAGGGTAGCTTTACCCATTAGAATGATGGAAAAAAATCACCTAGCATTTTTGTCTCTCTTGTGATTTGAGCTCTGGTCTTCCATGATTTTTCACCTACTACATTGATTGCTAGGTCACACCCTTGGGTGCTACTTATGGCACAAAACATTAGATATTTAAAATATTTTCAATGACTTAATTTAATAATTCATATATACATAGATAATTAAAATCCACGTAGACTTAGTGAAAAAATAGAACACAATGAAAGAAAAAGATCACTATCGGAGATATAAACGAGCTAGGATTAAGGCTTAGCTCTATTGGTTAGCTCGCATTAGATCCAATGATTGTTAGGAGTCTTTTGATCTTGTTAGAGATTTATTCGTCAGTAGAAAATACAGAAAACTATTTTTTGTAACTGAGCAAACCATGTGGGTTAGCTGGCCCAAACCAACTGGCTGGTTGGTCAACGGTTCAATATTCGGGAGAGTATAGACCGACTCCTCTACCCACCTCTCACTTAAATACTAGGTTTTTGCCGGTGGCAAAATTTTGAACTTGTAATCTGCGCCCTATCGGCACATCCTACATTGCGTCCTTATCATTGGAAAAACCTTAGGGACTATAGAACCTAGATTATCGAATATTGAAACGGAACATGCTCCACTCCACTGGAGCAAAATGGTCAGTGAGGATTCATATAGCCGCACCAACTAGCTAAGGATTGATGGTTTTTTTATAAGTATACATTTATTAGATGTATCCGAAATCCATATCTGTACTTCCATCTATATCCTTGAACTCTAAGATTTAGGTTTTGAGGAATTCAACTTCTAGATCACACCCGTATCAGATACTCGCACCCATGTCCATTAAACAGTACAATAAATAAGTTACATTTCTAATTCTACTACCTGGTTCTCATAGACCACTTAACATACCTATGCAAACACTTTAATACATGTTGGAAATGTTATATAGAGAAAGGAGACTTATTTAAATGGTTCTAGCCGGACTTGAAATCCTTGTGTGCCTCAAATACACATCCACCACACAGCAAAAACAAGGCGGTAAATCATCAATCCCGCAGATTAGGGGATCAAATCCTGTTACTGCCTAACTACTGTAGCATTTTCATAGGACAGAAGGTTGTTATAAGCTATGTAAAAAAGGGGCTAGAATTCAGTCTTGGTTTCGTTCACTTCTTTGCAAACACCCATAGCCGTGGAGCAAAGATAACCGTTTATTAGAGTAGTTTAATGATATTTTAGTAGACTGCCAAGGCTGAACAATCTAAGCTGGGCCACAAGGTCAGGTTTCTAAATCATTGAAGAATATCGAGTGAAAGAAGAGATGCCAGTAGTAGACTGTGCTATCCGTATCTCTTAGTAACATTGGCTTTGTTAATATTGTTTCCGCCTCTTTTAATTAAGTTAGTATAAGCCACTGCCCAAAGTCCACCAAACCAGCGAATCATATTGGTTATTTGCATTATTACTCTTGGACAAGCACTTTCACCTAGAAAAGATCATTCTTTTATCATTTTGAAAAAATCACTCAAGAAGTATATGAAAGATGTATGAATCATATACTTCATGTTCAGTGCCAGTATGTTTCCTTTGTATTACTTAAAATTCATAAGTACCACAAGCATGCCTTGACACAAGTGCACCCAGGATTATGAAGTGTCAATATTAAGTAAAAACTCTATGTTAGTGAGTGGTTTGTTCCTCATATTAATGAAGGCTTCAGAACTCCCACCAACTGGAGATCAACTTAAATCATTACATCCTCAAATGTATGAGAGGAAGCATATAAGTTATATAGCAGATCAAAATGTGTTAGATTCCATTCAAGGACATATTGTCATTCAACTGCATGTACGCAGTATTTAACATGAAAAGAAATTTAATCTCAATGTTTGAAGAAATATCAAAGGTTTCCAGAGAGATTTGACTATTTTGATAATTCTCTTAGAACTTAGCAAAAGAGGAAAAATCAGATTAAATCAGCCTTCAATTAATATTAATGCACATGAAAGTTTGGTTGTTTTTGACAAGTCTAAAGATAAATGGGTCAAGTATTTAGCACACTTAACAAAAGCTAAAAACTGAGACCTAGATAAGATGCTAAAAATGTTGCAGCTCTCCATAAATATGAAGTCCTTAACTTTAGATTCATCTTATTTGGAAATGTACCGTTACTATTTCTCAAGGCAATTGTCTGTGAACCTTATCTTGAGTCAATAAGTATAGGAGCTGTGATCAGTTCAAATTATTTTTACTGCCCCTACGGATGAAGAACAGTTGGTATTTACAATGAGTCACATGAAGCTTTGCATTCCTTCCTTTACCTCGCTCTCTCTCTCTCCAGTTGCACTCACCCAAGTCCCAACAAACCTATCTAAAGACAAAATATATTAACATGTACAAACACTTCGAACTGCCTTCTAATGTAATATCTCAGTGTCATATTACCTTCTCCTCTCCCTCAGTTTTCACCATACATATCTCACATACACAACTCTTTCTCTGGTTAGATTTTGATTTCACTAAAATGAAGCAAGAACTCTAGTTACAGAACTGGAGACCAAGAACGCATCCCCTAGGGGGTTTTTTGTGTGTGTGTGTGTGTGTTGGGG